CCAACCTGCGCGGGAGTCTGGGCTTCTGGCCAAAGCCAAAAAGACCAGGCTGCTCCACGGGCCAAGGGGCAGAGCTGCCTCCGCCTCCCGCTGGGCGGGACACCTTGCAGGGTGGCATCTCCGCCACAAATCTGGGCGCCGGCGGCGCGAACAGCCCTCGGACAGGCGCCATGTGGCTCACCCTGGTGCTGCTGGCCGCGCTGCTGCTGCTGCTGGCCGTCCTCCGCCAAGTTTACTCAGGCAGCTCCCCGAACCCTTTCTCCGAGGACGTCAAACGGCCCCCCGCGCCCCTGGTGACCGACAAGGAGGCCCGGAAGAAGGTTCTGAAACAAGGTCAGTGGAAGGGACCTTGCGGTCGGAGGCTGCACCGATTTGCGGCTTCTTTCCGGCAGGGCGAGCTGCTGCCAGACCTGGGCCTCAGTTTCTCCCTCTGCAAAGTGCTGGGGAGGCTGGAGGCACGTGGAGGCGCCCGCTGTAGTGTCCGCCACCATCTGGCGCCTTTGCTGGGCAGGCTGGGCAACAGTGGACGCATGGACGCGCACACTGTCCTCTGTGTGCCAAGGTCTTGGCAATGTCAAGTCCAGACTCTGTCTCCCCCCAAGCCAACCTGTATCCAGCTTTATTAAAGATGCTTTTCATAAATAATCATGGTATTTCAAGGCAGGACATGGGTAGACAATCCTTCACAGTGTACAACAACTTTCAAACTCCCCTCCTCAATGGACTAGGAAAATCAGAAAGCCGCTATAAGACCCAATGAAGTTTTCATCTGATGCTCAGAACAAGGAGAGTTTAGAGTGAAGGTTGACATTTCACATTAAGCATGTTGTTTAGCAACTTTTCACAAACCCATCCTCACTTTCAGGCAATGAAAGGAAAATGGCAGATTTGTAGATCCACAGTCGAACATGCTTTTTGAGGTCATGTCCCAAGAGGTCTCTGGGCTTAAGGGAGTCAGGTCTATGCTTAAAATGGAGAGGGAGGAAAGGAATTAAAATGATTTTTAGTTTTGCCACACCACAATGTGTTTGTGCCAAGGTGGCTAATGTGTGTCAACATCAAGTGATCCCTCCTCTCACCAACTGAGCTACCCAGCCAGGACAGGAATCAGTAACTGAGCCAGGGTTGCAGGTTTGATCCCCGGTCAGGACACATACAAGAATCATATATAATAAAAGGTTAATATGCTAATTAGACCAGATGTCCTTCTAGACGTCCTTCCGGACCAAGCCGGCCCATGAACCAAGCTGGCCCACGGCTGCGAGGGACAGATCCAGGCAGCTGCCCTCAGCCGCAAAGGCCTACTCTTGCACGAATTTTGTGCATCAGGCCTCTAGTGCATAAATAAGTAGAACAACAAATTGATCTCTCTCACATCCTTCCCCCCTTTCAAATAAATTTTTAAAAATTTACTGATTCCTACTGTCTTTGAAAGTAGGGAAAATCCCCATGTACATAGCAACTTTGGTTAAATCTGTTCAGATCAAGCCAAATCACTTTGCTGGTCCTGAGCAGTTCCCAGGTAAAATGTTTGTGATATTCTACTAAGGATTCTCTGCCAAACTGCTCTAGACTTCTAGCACTGGGCAAGCTAGAGAGGTCTGCCTTGGTTTCCATGTCTTTGCTACCCTTTCCTGAGAAGCCCACCCTCCATCTCCTCCCTCTGCTGCAGCTTTCTCAGCCAGCCGGGTGCCCGAGAAGCTGGATGTGGTGGTGATTGGCAGTGGCATTGGGGGCCTGGCTGCAGCCGCGATTCTAGCCAAAGCTGGCAAGCGAGTTCTGGTGCTGGAACAGCATACCAAGGCGGGAGGCTGTTGTCACACCTTTGGAAAGAATGGCCTCGAATTTGACACAGGTAAGGTTTATGTGGAAAAGGGTTGGGCGCATGCTTTATCTTCAGGAGGCTTGGAGCATCGTGGGATGATAGCTTTTCTGTTGTTTTGGAGGCTCTGTTTTCTCTCTGGGCGCCTCTTTCCTTGTCTGACAGCTGCACCCATTGGGAGC